GAATCTGGTGTATCTGAATGTCTCGAAAAGTTACTTAGACAACTGGAGAAGAATTAGGGATTAAATTATTGATAAGTACAAAGAAAACGAAGCAAATGAAAAATAAGACAGTTAACTCCAGCAATAATAAAAAGCTGTGCAGGAAAGGGAAAATGATCGCAGGTTAATAAATTGCTCGGCTGTGAACGATGTTTACACAGTCCTAACAATGTGAACCCTGAATACTGATCTAACTGTAATTATAATACAAATGTGTTGGGAGGAAACTCTCCATGGCTCTCTTGCATTTCTGCATGTCCTGCGAGCGAGGCACTGCCTGCCCTTCATTCTGGACCGTCTTTTCAAGGATGTTTGTATAGTGAACAGCCTTGGAAAACAAAGATGGCATCTCCTTTTGCAGTAAACGGCAGGATACTTACTAAAATAATAAAGATAAGGTCTCTATCTGGAGTAAAGTTCAGGCCTGCTTACTACCCATTACAAAAGACTCAGGGTCCCTAAGGTCAGAGCTCCTCTCCTGTAATGCACCCCATTGCATGTGCAGTGTCACCTGGCCTCTCTGCATCACCCTGTGGGAACTGGGGCTTGGAGTATCAGTGTAAAAATGTTGATACTCCAGTTACTAATATTGCTATGTGCAATAAACTCTCCTCCGTTCTACTAACATCCATAAAACTGTAGCAGGCAAACTTGTTAGCCTGCAAGTAGCATAAAATCTTAGACCCTTCACAGTTCTTGACAAACTATTTCAAAAGTGGGGAAACAAAAGGGATACACGTGAGCAGCAAGTGTAAAGGAAGGAAAAAGAATGAAATCTTCCATTTCAGTAGGAGGAAGTAAATAGATAATTCCTGAAACAGAAATATCAAAAAATAGCAGTTTGGGGGCCAGCCCAGTGGCATAGTGGTTAAGTTCGCATGCTCCACTTCAGCGGCCCAGGGTTCACAGGTTTGGATCCCAGGCGCGGACCTATGCACCGCTTATCAAGCCATGCTGTGGCAGGCGTCCCACGTATAAAGTAGAGGAAGACTGGCATGGATGTTAGCCCAGGGCCAATCTTCCTCAGCAAAAAGAGGAGGATTGGCAACAGATGTTAGTTCAGGACTAATCTTCCTCACCAAAAAAAAAAAAAAAAAAAGTAGCAGTTCAAACATATTATTTAGAACCTTGAAGGTAAGTACCAAAATAATCAGCCAAAAGTGATGAAAGTATTCAAATCTGAGGAAGAAAAATGCAGCAAAATCCTTGAGGAAAGAGATAATATTCAGAGGATCAGTGGAAGAGACTGGCTCTTGTTTAAAAAAAAAAAATCTGTACCCTTGTACCAACGTTTCCATTGTCTATCTCTTCATAGCACTTTCAAAACCTGCAAAGGGGAACTGGATTTCATATGTTCTTGGCCTGCTTCTGGAAAAGTACTGAGAGTGAAATAATAAAATTATTATTACCATCACAACTAGCTGTCAGTTACGAAGAACTTACTGTATCTTAAGCACTGTTCTACGTATTTTACATGTATTAACCCTATGAGATAACATTATCCAAATTTTATGGATGAGGGAACTGAAACACATTAAGTGACTCTCCCGTGACTGCATAGGATTCAAACCTAGACAGTCTGGCTCCAGAGCCTGCAGTCAGTCCTGAGAATCAAGAGCCACCTCTACTAGTCAGGACTCTAGTTGCAAGTGTCAGAAACCTAATTTAAACTATTTTAAGTAAGAAAGGAAATTTATTAACTCATGTAAATAAATTGTATAAAGAGAGGGGTAGTGTTTTCAGAGATAACTGGATTAAGGGACTTGAACTCACTGTTTCTGACTCTTGTCTAAGTTCCTAGGTCTAGATGTTGGCCTTATTATCCAAAGCCCCTCCAAATGGCAGGATATATGGCCCCAGAAACTCTAGGGCCATACACAGCCCTACAGGCTATAATTCAAAGAAAAAGACCGTGCAACAACAGTGAGATACCACTACGTACCTATCAGAATGGCTAAAATCCACAACATTGACAACACCAAATGCTGGCACAGATGTGGAACAAGAACTCGCATTCATTACTGGTGGGAATGCAAACTAGTACAGCCACTTTGGAAGACCATTGGCAGTTTCTTATAAAACTAAAAACACCTTTACCATATGATCCAGCAATCATGTTCCAAAAACATGACCACACAAAAACCTGCACGCATGTTTATAGCAGCTTTATTCATAACTGCTAAAATTTGGAAGCAACCAAGACATCCTTCAATAGGTGAATGGATAAATAAACTGTGTTACATCAATACAATGAAATACTATTCAGTGCTAAAAAGAAATGAGCTATCTAAGCCAAAAGTCAGCAAACTACAACCCATGGGCTAAATCTGCCCCCCTGCTTGTTTCATAAATAAAGTTTTATTGAAACACAGCCATAAAAAATATAAAAAGAAATGAGCTATGAAACCATGAAATTACATGGAGAAAACTTAAATGCATGCTATTAAGTAAAAGAAGCCAATTTGAAAAGGCTGCATACTGTATGATTCCAACCTCGTAACATTCTGGAAAAGGCAAAATGCTCTCTCTCCTAGCTTCATGAAATAAATCCAGGGAATAACTCTGACTGCCTCACTGATGGTCATATGCCCATCCCTGGGACTGTCACTGTGGTCGGGAGAATGGGATATACACTGGCCAGGTTTCAGTCACATGTCCATTGGGGAGCTTGGGGTGGGGCAGGAACGGGCATAGCTCAGTGTTCCATTTAGCAGCCTCACCAGAATCACCTGATGATAGTGGAAGAAGGAGTGTGCTCCAAAGGGAGGAAGGGACAGAGGAGAGTGGTGCTGTTATCAGAAGGAGGAGGAAAGGGTGTTAGGCAGAATAAAAAAATTACAATGGCTACACCCTCACCTATATTACGTATGTATTTAAAAATTCTAAGCGGCACATATGTACGGTGATGGATAAAAACTGGACTGTTGGTGGTGAACACAATGCAGTCTATACAGTAACTGAAATACAGTGATGTACACCTGAAATTTACATAATGTTGTAAGCCAATATGACCTCAATAAAATAATTTTTTTTGAAGTTCTCTTTTGTTTGTTTTAAAAAGGAAAAGGACATTTATCACTTTCCAGCTTATAAAGTGTGGTACCACTGGGAAAGAAGATTAATGGAGAGAAAGTCAGCAGGAAAACAAGGATTGAGAACAGAAAAGAAAAACAAATAGAGAAAGAAGAGAACTGAAGAACGGGGCATTAAAGGCCAAAAGACACAGCATTTCCTACCATGTATGGGTAAAATTAAATATATAAAATTATATCTCTATTACCCAGAATAATTTCATTCTTTAAATAATATTTTTATAGACAAAGACATAACTATGAGACCCAGTTCTAGCCAATGAGATGGAGAGAGAGTGTCCTGTGTGAGACTCCCAAGTGACTGATGCCTGATCAGACAAGGATCTTCGCCTGCCTGCAATGTAGACATTAGACCTAGATGGGCAGCAGCCATCTGGCAAGCATGAAGACAAAAGCCACACCCTGAAGATGGCAGAACAGAAAAAGAGAAGGAACTTGTGACCCTAATGGCATTGTGGAAGCACCTTACCAGCCCTGGACTTCCTACCTCCAGACTTCTTGTATATGAGAAAAAAACCCAAAACCTATTGGGCCAAGCCACTGCAGTTAGGTTTCTATTACCTTGATCTCTTAAATGATCCAAATAGCTAACATCACTTTATCACTATCTGTAGAAGGTACAAGTTATATATTTGTACTAAAAACACAATACCCTCTCACCATTTTCCACCTAAGACCAACTGTGTGTATTTAAAATGGCTGATTAAGGGGGCACTGAGTAGCTGTGGGAAGCTATTTGGTATAAGAACTGAAACTAAGATTTTGACTAAATCAATAACATTCTCAACCAAATGACTAAACGAGTTAAACTTCATCCCAGTTTCTGATTTTTATAAAATTATATGTAATAGCACAGCTTTACAAAGAGTTATGATTGCTTTCCATGAATTCCTACTTTTGTTCTCATTTAATCCTTAGTGTGTAATCAATGCACTTCTAACAGTAACAAGTAATAAAAACCATATCATTTCTCATTAACCTTTTATTTTTAACTTAGTTTTACAATAAAGAAACAGAAAAAAAGTAGATCATTAAAAAAATACCATCGCTGTCAATTTAAAATTTTAAATGAGGTTCTTGTTAAACAAAGCAGTAACACTGTATCCTATAATTACATCTTTACTTCTATATACAAGAACTGTGTGCAAAATGCTTTTCAAACTATAAAATAAGACTTTGGAATAGGATACAAATGGTTACCCCAGGAGTTAGTTACTGCTTGTTAATGAATCACAATTGCTTACATTCTTAATTGGCATTTTATTTATTTATATACTAAGAGAAAAGCCACCATTTTCTGATACCAGATTGATATCTAATTTTTGGAAATAATCCCTGATCCACAGGTCTCAACTTTATTTTTACATATAATTTTTACATATAACTCAGTTACTTGCTTCATTTTGTTTTCCTACACAAATAGAGGACAGTTTTTAAAAAGCAAATATTAGTAGATCCCTTTAGACAGAAAATATTAGTAGATCCCTTTAGAAAGACACATCTTAATCAACATGGGATTAAAAAATAAAAAACATCAAGTTACATAAAAGAAAAAAAATAAAGAAAAAAGAGTCTTGGGAAAAACCAACCGTATTTTTATACTTTTTTCTTCAGGCAAAGACCCACCCTCTATACTAGGAACAGATTACTTTCTCTCTTCTTGAAAACACTCTGAACACGTGATGCTAAACCCAACATCAAACATACCAAGAATGCTTAAAAATTATTTGCTGTTAAGCCTTTGAATCAGAGAAATCTTTAAAGTACAAGGGACATCTAAATGAGCAGGGAGTTTTAGAAGGTATACAGGAAGAATAATTCCAAACAAAGCCTTCAAGGATCTAAATTACAGTCTTCTTTTTAGTCTACATACGGGAGGTGGGGGAGAGACACTTACATCGACATTAGCTGGGGATGGCTTCTTAATATGGAAGCATATGGCCTGCTAGCTTGCAATCCTTCCAATCCCCCTGTGAAATAGGTTTATCTAAAATATTATACCCCGAAGGAGAAACTGAGGCACTAAGAGGTTAAGAGTCCAGTCTGTGTAGTTTACCAGTTGCAGAAAAGTGATTTTCATGTGTTTCCTTTTTGACGTTTGTAAAAACAGTAAAAATAAGTTTTCATTTTATATTTCAAAGCACCCTATGAAGCAGAAACAAGATATCCTCAGTTAAAGAGAAATGATTACAAAGGAATAAATGTATATGATTGAATAAAAATCTTAGTAATGATCTGCAGGGTCAGAATACACTTTCAAACCTACTTTAAGCCCATTCTTCATCATTTCCATCAGCAGGCTATGTCTGTTCTGTGACTCATTTGTAAAAACTAAGCCTAGTACATAGGGCTCTACTTTGTAAGGAAGATGACTGAACACTAAGGTCAGAGCTGTGAATGTTCAAGAAAGATTACGGACAGCCCACAAAGTGGATGTGGAGAATTTTCTTCTAGCAGTTTTCTACTCCTTGGCACGACAATGCAGTGACTAAGATATAAAGTCGATTTAATCTCATTTGAAATTCAATCTTGGTTTGCATTCTTTCTCATATTTAATTTAGAAAATTAAAAATACCCAGTTATAAATTTGATCTCATTATTACAACTGTACCTTGGAAAAGCAGCTTATATTTCTCTATGGGAGATAATCAGGTAAACATGTTACCAAACAATAATTAATAATTTAATGTCCTTCAAGTTCAAGGGTAGGGTAAATCTATGTATGCTATTTATAACCTAGTGAGATTGATTATTCAAGTATTAGCAATATTAGTCCTTAAAATGTTATCATTTGTGTAGTGCAAAATATATATATATGTATATATGTACACAAACCAAACTACTGGACAACAAAAAGAAGTGTAACCATCAGAAACTAAGATTTTCTTGTGAGCTCCACAATCCATTTCATTCCAAGGTCATCCAGGCCCAGTAGTCTTCTTGAGTAAAATACCATTTTCTTCAGTTCAGTTTTCTTAAAAAAAAAAAAAGTAAAAACCAATTTCCTATGAATATAAATGCAATCTGAATATGAAACACATCCATACCAAAGAATTTTCTGAATTAAAACATAATATAATATTCTAATTCAAAATAAAACCATAAAACTATAAATGATCCTTCTGAAGTTACTTCATGTGACTTATAGCTCAAAAGGAAAGACCCAATTGTGAGTGCTGACATTACCAAATAGTTTTTAATAAATAATTTAAATGTACATTTCTCCTCTCCTAGCTTCTAGATTCTCATCCTTTTCTAGTTGGCTATTATACAATTCAGATTGTTGCAAATTATTTGATAATTTTATCAAAATGGAAAAGTTGTGAAACAAAAAAGCTTAATAAAACTACAAAAGGTTGATAGATATACAACCTGGACTATTCATTTAATCAACAAATATTATGTATCTGTTACTTTCCAGGCAGTGGGGATACGAACATAAATGAGGCAGGCTCCCAGCCCTCAAAAGAGCTCTCCATGTAGTTGAGGGGGACTGGGGGACATATACACCAACAACCGAGATATGTATGACGTGACTGTTTTAGTGAGAGCAGGGTCAATGAACCATTAAGAAACGGGTAGGCTCGTCAGCACAAGACACAACAATCACATATGATCTGAGTTCTGGGAGAGCTCCCACAGCTGTAAAATCTCTACCCTCCCCAGCACTCAAGATGCCAAAATGCCTGAAATTCTTTCATTACAGGTTCATGCCTCTCCTGTGTAGAAATGCTCTTATGCAACTCCCTTGGCAGGAATGATATTTTACATAATTGGACCATTCCTTATCCTCTGTAGAAATCTTCTTATGTACACCCCCTTGGCAAGAGTGACATTTTAAATAATCAGATCAATTTTCACGTAACAGAAGATCAGTTGTGGCATGAAGAAAAAAGGCCCCTGGAGGAACAGAACTGTGGGTGGTTCTAAAGTAACTGGGAGCCAGGGTTTAGCAGAAACCTTAGCTGGGAAGTGCCAGAGCAGTCAGCGACACTTATCAAGAACCCACATGATGCAAATTACTATACAAGGTCCTTTGCAGATTTACAAAAAAGCACACCACTTGGTCTATGAACCCCCAATCTTCTATCTACTGTAACAGGGAAATAGAATAGACATAAATTACTATCACTATCTTCAGAACTTTCGAATGTTTCTCAGGCTCTTAATGCAATCTTTCTCTCCTTTTTTTTTTAAATTAACTTGTAAAATGTAGGGTATGGTGTGATAAGACAAGAAAAGTTACAAGAAACAACAGATAAGGGAACAGGAATAAAATTCTGCCTTTCCCCTACTTAGCCTGTTGAACTCTCTGCCCTGGCTGTACTGCTGAGATTCTTTCCTCTCCTCAGAAGCCTCAGCCTGACATTTTGGGCCAGTGCCATCTTCCCCAGTCTCCATCTTGAAGAATGTTTCTCCCCAGATCCTCCCCACCCCTATCCAATTTTTACTGATTACCTCTCTAATGAAGCTCAGTGTCACCAAGGAAACTACATGACAGCAGATTGATGACTCTGGGCAGACTGATAAAGAAAAGTGGTTAGAAACATTCTTTCCTTCAAAGTGATAGATCAAGAGTAGTCTTTTGGGCTTAACAGGTCTGCTTCCAGTATTTAACTCCTGGATCATTTTAATAGTAGAATTTTCAGGTTAAGTAATGGGAGAGGCGGCACCACAGGAGACTGTTCAGGGCCTATTTTTGAATAGGTCTGCAGGTGTTGCTCTCCGTATCACATAAAGAAGGAATGTTCTGATCCACTGCAGAGTGATGTGAGAAATCTCTTTCACGTTTATATTTATATTCTTGTATACTAGAAAAAAAAAATCAAGCAGTGGACCTTAAGTATTACTTTTAATGTTAAAAAAAAATTTTTTTTAAGCTTACCACAAATAGATCACCACTTATTTTACATATGTACAGGACTATCTCAGTGTGTCTATTTGTGTCCAGATTTTACTTATTAAATAAAATGAAAGCTTCTCCATGTCATCTGGTACCTCAATTTGCCATCCTGCCAACAGTGGGCATTCAGCCATGCACTCAGCACATATTTATTGAAAGCCTATGACACGGCAGACACTGTACCAGGGGATGAGGCACAGGATAGTCCCTGAGTAGGGCACAGCCTCTCCTGCCCACACTTTTCCCATCCTGACAGGACTTCTAGATCTTTCTCTTCATCTCTAACACAGACCTGTCTCCTCCATACCATACACACTGCTTTCTGATCTTCATTCCTGTAACTGTCAGATTAAGAACTGTTAAACACTGCCAGATTAAAAGAAGCCTAAATCCCCTCAAGGCCAAATACGGCTCTATCTCCAACCCCAGTTAATTTGTTACACATATAAACAAAAACACTTAAAAGCACTATATCTCATCAAAATGCAGTTGTGCAATGCCAAATAATTTGCATTTTGGAAGGACTAAACACCTAACATACAGTGGAAAACTTGACAAAGACTCAATAATAACAAAGTAGAAAATTAAACAGGGAAGAGTTCTCCATTCAGAGATACCTGTAAACAACGGAAAGGGACACTTAGGAGAAATGGTGTGTACTTCTACTGGTAAGGAACATTTTAAAAAATTATTTTAGAAAAACTGCAATTTTCAGTGACTGCTAAAGCAAAGTATAGTTTGTTTTTTCAGTCTTTACTAAAGTGACAAGCTGCTTCAACCTTAAGCAGAAAATAAATTATTAACCAAAGTAAGCTTTAGGCTTTTTGTCCTATGTCAAATTTCTCTACTCTCCAATCCCCAACTTTCTAGAAAGGAAACATGAAAAGAAACTTTGAAATGCGCTGCAACGTATGTCAACACCTACCTTTAGTGCCACTGTTCCCTCGGCTTAAATCTAGCATTACCACATACTGAAAAGGGTTTGGTTCTTTGTTCCTCCTATTATCCCGGAAATTAGAATTTAAACCACTGCACAGCACTAAACCCAACCATCATAGGAGAAAAGTAAAATGTACGAAAGAAGAAAAGAAAGGACTTATATTAAGGTCTGTATCTTAACAGCTGAAATGACACACACACAAATGGATTAGAAAGGGAGTAAATAATGCTAAGAAAGCATTTTATGCTTCTGAAATCCTACTGAAGTTTTTTCAAGTGGGCAGGTGTATTCCAAGAACATTAATGTAGCAGAAAACTTATTTAGTTAATTTATGAACATAAGTCAAACTGTCTTAACACAAGCAGAGAACAAGGAAGACTGAAACGACTCAGCCAATGTCACTAGCATTTCAGTTTCTCTCCTATAAAGTGTCTAACCGGAGCACTTATACTAATGTGCTGTGTATCCCTTTTACAGGAGAGAAGGGGACATGTTTGCTTTTTGCTTTTGTGATCAAGTGTAGTAATTAGAAACTTGGGTTCTTTGGTAGAGGAACAACATACCCAGAATTATTTAAACTTCTGGATTTTTTAAAATGTGTTTTCCTGCACATATTTAAGAGAGCGCTTTAAAATCTTATCATCAAACACCCTATTTCTTTTCTCCATTTGTTATAACTTAATGGGAAATGGTGACTAGATACTTGAAAAGATAATCACGAGGCCATCAGTGAGGTAAACAATTGTCTATCTGTCTGTCCATGGAAAGTCAGTCACTTTACAAAGCGTCCAAAACAATGCTTTTAGGATTTTCTTGAACCCAACAGTTTTGGCCTCAGGCTATTCCTAACCTAGACAATCTCAGAACACTTTCAAGGATTCCAATCTATTATTCTCAGACTTACCTGAGTTATCTCCTGGCATCCCAAATTGAAATTCTGGCCCCCAAATTAGAATAATCCCTATTTCTTGAGCTAGCCAACCACCAGGGTGAAAATGTTCAGAAACGTCCACGTCTCTATTTCAAAGGTACAGAGAGCATGCAGGCATGTTTACCCATCCCCTGTCCTTTAGTACTAGCAAAGGGCCCAAAATAAACATCGGACTTTTAAGAACCTTGTTTCCTCATTAGCCACAAAACTTAAGCCTGTAATCATTTTCTTGTTGTTGCCCAAATCAAAGGTGTACAAATCTGTCAGATGCTCTCAAGTAAAAATTTTTTAAGTCTAACAAGCACTTAGAAATCCACCAGTTATCATTTCCAAGGTAGTCAGTCTCAGGATTAGTACAGAATGTTCGGTATGACAACATATCTGTGAAACGGACCCATCCCCTTAACTGCTGCCGAAAGCTCTGTCTGCTATAGATTACAAGAGTCTACACACCACTTTGAATTATAAAACCATAGTATTACCTTCTCCGTCTTTGATAATATAGATACACCAACCACTGGGCAATGAAAGGCCATATGATAGCGAAAGCTAATGTGCCAGGAGACATCTCCAAGGGCCACCAAGACGGTCTCTGAGAATATAAAACAGGCTGGTCACTAATCTATTACAAATTGCATGTATAAACTTAAAAACACACCTAATTCATAATTTTGAAAATATATAATTAATAATAAATCTCACTTCTGGCTAAAGGGAGGGAGATGGTCTCTATTTCAGAGCATAATTCAGTAAGTAGATTTTGAGGAGTACTTCAGATTTAAATAAACACAAAATAAATATATTTTTAACTTCAAAGTTCTAAAGGGTAGATTTCATTTGGAATACTTTAAAGATGTCATATAATCTAAGTTTATTGTAACTTATTTGAAACCCTGACACTTAGATTTAAGAAAAAAATTTCTTACCTGTGAAGGGGGCTGATTACTAGTCTGTAACGTTGATGATTTTGCCTAGAAATACAAATGAAGCAATTTAGCTTTGAAAAAATGAAAAAAAAAAATACTTTATTTCCTATCTTTTTTTTAAAAAAAAAAGGCGAAATATTAGTTTATTCTATTTTTCTGCTAACTATGCTTTGACTATCCTGAAACCCATACTGACCAAATAACAAGTTTCTTAAAATTGCTAGCCAAATAAATATCTTTGACATTTTATATTTTATAGTTCAAATAATAAAAAATTATCAAAGCTCAAATTGATCTAAACCATTAATTCTTTCATATTTTTATTAAATTACCTACTCAACTTTTCTTATTAATTCCTTAATTTCCATACAAACTACCAATTTACAAACACATTTGAGAACTGCAGCCTTGATTATTAAAATTGTAATGATTATGTAAACAATATCCAAAGATCTGTTTTGGAAATTCATGATAAGCAGAAGAGGTATACAACAGATATGAGAAATGAACTGTTAGTGTTGTAGGTTTTTATTTTTTTATTTATTTTTTATTTTTTTATTTTTTTTATTTTATTTTTTTTTCTAGCTTTACTGAGGTATAATTGACAAAACTGCATATATTTAAAGTGTACAACATGATGATTTAAGTATACATTGTGAAGTGATTACCATAATCAAGTTAACTAACACATCCCTCACTTCACAGTTGTTTTTTTTGTGGTGAGTTTTGTAAGCTTGTGTGTGTGTGTGTGTGTGTGTGTGTGAGAGAGAGAGAGAGAGAGAGAGAGAGAGAGAGAGAGGAAGATTGTCCCTGAGCTAACATCTGTGCCCATCTTCCTCTATTTTGTATGTGGGACACCACCACAGCATGGCTTGATGAACAGTGCATACGTCCACACCTGGGATCCCAACCTGTGAACCCTGGGCCTCCAAAGCTTAGAGCGCGTGAATTTAACCAGTATGCCACGGGGCTGGCCCCTTGTACATTTTTAAATGAAAAGTATGAACTAAGCAGAAAAATTTCAAACTAATTTAGGAAACTTAGATTCCTATTTGGCTCATCCCCAACACAAGTTTCCTTAGGCTAGATGTTAGAAACTTATTACTCCAGTTTCTCCATTTATTATAACTTTAGAGAAATGGTATGAGGATTAATAAGATCATTCCTTCAACAAACACTTACGGAGCATCTATTCCATACCAGTCACCATTCTAGGCATTAGAGATACAGCTGGGAGCAAATGACAACAATTGCCACCCTAATACATCTTACACTCTAGTGGAGGGATTCAGATAATAACAAATAGGCCAGTAAAAGACACAGTATGTCAGGTAGTGATAAATGTAAATAAAACAGGGAAGGGAGATGGGACACGTCGGAGGAGGGGAGGCTTGGAAGTAATTTTAAATAGTGGTCAGGGAAGGCTTTGCTGACATTTGAGCAAAGATCTAAACAAAGAAAAATTGTAAGCCATGTGGCTAACTAGGGGAACAGCCTTCTGTACAGAGGGACTGGCAAGTCCAAAGAGCCAGGGTGGGAGGGAGCCTGCTGCAGGTTCAAGGACAGCAAGGAGGCCAGCATGCTGGAGCAGAGTGGGAACAGGAGGAAGCGCGTGCGGGGTGGGGGTGGGGGGGCAGGCTTTTAAATGTCCTTGTTATGGGTAATGTGATTTCTAGGACCCAGTATGACTATAGCTACAGGCAAAACTCAATTAGTTCCCCCTGGATGCTGCATTAGTCCTTACAGACCATTAGGTGTTGCTTTGTCTGTGTGTGTGAGGAAGATCAGCCCTGAGCTAACATCTGCCAATCCTCCTGTTTTTGCTGAGGAAGACTAGCCCTGGGCTAACATCCATGCCCATCTTCCTCTACTTTATATGGGACGTCGCCACAGCATGGCCTGACAAGCAGTGTGTCCTGCGCGCCCGGGGTTCCAAACCTGCAAACCCTGTACTGCCAAAGCAGAGCACGCGCACTTAACCACTATGCCACCGGGCCGGCCTCAGACCATTCGGTGTTAAAGAAGTTACCATTCCAGTATACTCAAGTTGCAAATACTGAAAGAATCTAGACAAGGTAATCATTTTTATGGTATTAGTTGTAATAGTACCTTGCAGACAGAACAATATTTCACCAAGAGATTTACCTATGGCACTTCTTCAGACTTCATGGAATAAAGTGTAGAATTATAAAACTGGGATCCGAGGTATCTGATCACTTATCCAAGGTCACATTAGTCAGTGTGATTTAGAACGGAACTCGAGGTGACCAAATCCCAATGTGAAGACACAACTACTCTTCATTAAAGCAGCAACTACTGACAAATACTAAGGCTAAATCAAAACTATTAAATGGAGGAGCCGGCCCCATGGCATAGTGGCTGGGTTCCCATGCTCCACTCTGGCAGCCCAGGGTTCGCAAGTTCGGATCACAGGCGCCGACATATGCACCACTTACCAAGCCATGCTGTGGCAGGCAGCCTACATATAAAAAATGTAGAGGAAGATGGGCACAGATGTTAGCTCAGGGCTAATCTTCCTCACCAAAAAAAAATAATTGAATGCAACTATGAGTGGATTTTTTTCTACGTAATAAATGGTCTGGAAAGGCAAATGAAGATTCCTAAAGACCTCTGCTTACAGCTAAGAAATAACTGGCACTACCTGTATAAAAAGCATTATGACTTTTTGTTTTAACAATATTTATCCTTATATATTATTAAAAAAATTTAATGACGCTTGTTAAAGCACAGTAAGGAAGACTTTATTCAAGGGAGGAGGGGCTATTACTATAGGTATAGGGACCACTGCGGTGGGGAAGAGAGATTGGGATCAGTTCCAAATAGAGCATGGGCAAGGGGAATTTACAGTCAAGGAGCAGGGTAGGGATCAGTGGATGGGAAATTACTCAGAGAAAACATCAGGGGTAAGGGAGATTGTGGCTAAATTGACCTAAGAGGATTCTTACTGAAGACAGGCCTGAGTGATCACACATCATCTGGGGGATGGTAGAGGATGAGCCGCCCAATCAGATATCAAGGGTGGGCAGTTCTGGTTAAACTAACTTAGCAGGGTTCCTGCTAAAACTGGATTTTACAAGGAAGAAGTGAACAGATGGGACTAAGAGAAGGTTCAGGAGCTTAACTAAAGTTTGGTCAAGCAACAAATCTTTGTCACTATCAAGTGGCTTTTATGTAGCTTTTACATATTTAGAAATTCTATTTACCATTCTATAGCTAAATTAAAATAAGGATTACTGAATTTTTCTGAAAATCATTTTGAAAGGAAAAATCTCATACAATAGTAACCATTGCAAAGAAAACATAAAATATAAAGAAAATACAAGTTAGGTCCTCTGTAAGGTTGTGAACTTCCTGAGAGAAGAAACCAAGCTGTCTTACCATCGTTGTTGTCGTCATCATCTCATGTGATAATACTTAAGTGCTTAATATGTTCCAGGTACTCTACCAAGCATTTTATTTTATCCTCTGAACAAGCTTATGAGGTAGCCATTATTAATATTTCCATTTTATAGATAAGGAAACTGAGGCACAGAAAAGTTAAGTAACCTGACCAAAGATCACAAACTAAGTGGCAGAGCCAGGATTTGAACCCAGGTAGTTTGCTCCAAGGTCTGCTACACCGTGCTATCTCCCTTTTCATTTTTGTGTCCACTGCCTAGAAAAGTATCTGGTACGTGGCCATTCAACAAATATTTATTGAGTTAATGAATCTAAGGAACTATTTTACAAAAAAAGTAATATATCTCAGGCAGCTTTAGTTACAGACTTGGCTCTGTCACCAATTATTGTGTTCTCTCAGTATCTCAGCTTCCTTGTCTGCTGAGCTAAGGGTACGGAACTAAAGTTTCCTTCAGTTCTACAGTCTACTACTATTCTACCATCAATTTAGTTCTTTTATTCACCCAAATCAATTATGCAAATTTTTATTCATCCAAATGAACTATGCAAATTTTAAGGGGAAAAGTCCTTAACATGTCAGAATCTTTAAGTTTGTTTTATGTAAGACAAGAGTGAAAAAGAAAACATCTAAAAAAAAATCAAAAGAATTTTTAGCAGAATTTACCATTAAAGACATTAAATAGATACAAAATATTCTTTTAAAAAATCACAGAACAAGAAAATACAGACTACTGGAACAATAATGTTCAATAGTACTAAATTAACACATGAGGTTTCCCACCTGCATTAGCTCTTTTTTGCTTCCTTTAAGATGGTTCTGTATTAATCTAGGGATAGTTTGATGGGATCTTAGGCCTTAAATACATGTTATTTTTCAAGCTAATACAGAATAGTAGAATTTTCTTATTAATGAAAGATACAAATAAAATAGTTTGATATCAACAACCTACACTTACCTGTACAAACAAGATGTCACGTATTTAAGTCACTATTTTTTTTTTTTTTTTTTTTTTAAAGATTTTATTTATTCAGTTTTTTCCCCCCAAAGCCCCAGTAGATAGTTGTATGTCATAGGTTCGCATCCTTCTAGTTGCTGTACGTGGGACTCGGCCTCGGGTTGGACGGAGAAGTGGTGCCTTGGGGCGCGCCCAGGATCCGAACCCGGGCCGCCAGCATCAGAGCGCGCGCACTTAACCGCTAAGCCACGGAGCCGGCCCTTAAGTCACTATTCTTAACCTTTTTTCATCATAGACCCTGTTGAGAATCTGATGAAGGCAATAAACCCCCTCTCCTCAAAAATGCAAAATCAAACAGAAATTTGCATATTATTTTAGGATGTTCATAGACTCACAAAAGTCTACAGATTCATAATCTAAGTAATAATAAAATGTAACTGAGAATCATTGAGATACATATAATTGAGAAACTTTGTGATAGTTTGAGTAAGTTAGTTATTAGGTAAACGGTAAGATATTCATAATCGTTGTTTACAAAGCCTACAGTATGAATTTCTTTACATATATTTACATTCAATGTCTTCGTCTTATCATGGAAGCACATCCTCTTTGATTAATCCCTAGAAATTTTTCTTAACATTTGTTAAAGTATCATGCTTCGACGTTTTATGTTTGAAGCTAGGTCAGACAGTCAGGCTAGTTGCCTCTTTCTTTTTTTTTTTAATTTTGTGCATTTATTATTTATCTCTGAGGACGTTCAGTGTGTGTGTGTGTGTGTGTGTGTGTGTGTGTGTGTGTGTGTGTGTGTGTGTGTGTGTGTGTGTGTGTGTGTGTGTGTGTGTGTGTGTGTTCAGGCTAGTTGCCTCTTTTTTTTTTTAATTTTGTGCATTTATTATTTATCTCTGAGGACGTTCAGAGTGTGTGTGTGTGTGTGTGTGTGTGTGTGGAAGATTAGCCCTGAGCTAACATCTGTTGCCAATCCTCCTCTTTTTGGTTGAGGAAGATTGTCATTGAGCTAACATCTGTGCCCATCTTCCCCTACTTTATATGGAATGCCGCCACAGACAAGTGGTGTGTCGGTCCGCGCCCAGGATCCAAACTGGTGAACCCGGGCCGCTGAAGCAGAGTGCACGAACTTAACCACTGCGCCACCGGGCCGGCCCCAGTTGCCTCTTTCTTTTCTCCAACCAATATGACTCAAGGAGGAACTAGTCAGGGGACAAATGGAGCAGATCACTAGCAGCCATCTGAAAGCTCTGCAGCTGAGTCTAAGGATTATCGCAGCCCAGTCAAGACTATGCACCAAGCTGAATCGTCCCTTCCTATGAACGCTTTTCTCTTCTTTTAGCACCTCCTCCATATTCAGCTGTCTAGCTTTATTCAGCACAGGATAGCAATGTGCCCTACTAGAAACAGCACTGCCCTAGGAAACAGGATGTCTGGGTTCTGCTTGAGTTTCTGCAACTGACTAGCTAAGTTTTCAAAAGTTTACTACTCTTGGGCCGGCCCCGTGGCTTAGCGGTTAAGTGCGCAGCGCTCTGCTGCTGGCGGCCCGGGTTCGGATCCCAGGCGCGCACCGACACTACCGCTTCTCCGGCCATGCTGAGGCTGCGTCCCACATACAGCAACTAGAAGGATGTGCAACTATGACATACAGCTATCTACTGGGGCTTTGGGGAGAAAAAAATAAATAAATAAAATTATTAAAAAAAAAAAAAGAGTTAGTAACTTAATATATTATCTCTACAACATTTTAAAAAGAAGTTAAGATAGGGGACAATGCTTACTACAAAAGAATCACTCTTTAATGATGAACTCTAGGGCATTAGTTACAGTCTCTTTACTCATTCTTCAAACTGCACTATTTAACAGCTCTTATTCTTCTAATACCAAGCACCCTACTCCTACCTCCAAAACGGTACAGCTAATTTTACACTCTAAAAATTTTCTACAAGATCCTTTTTTATTTTTAAAAAAATCATTAAACTACATTGATTTGTGTAAATCTGATTAACACAGATGACAATTACATGCTGTTTGACAGGATCAACAGTGGAAGAAGAAAATAAGACAAATCCTGAAGCTTACCTGCGAAGCCGTTAGTGTTTCCAGTTTCTGAAGTCTCTGAAGGACATTCTGCATGTCCTCCTGCAGTCGCATGAGCACAAGGGCAATCTGCTCATTGAGGCTGCCTCTCGACCCTCTGTCTGAACCCCAGCGTTCTCCATCACCTCCACTCCCCACTTGCTGACCCTTCATTCCTTCGCTCAATTGCTGCATCCTATGCCCTATTTTAAGAAAGCAAAATAAGTTAGTTTTAAATAATTCTTATAAAAGTAGAAACAGTGTGCTTTATTCATTTTCCTCTGTTATTTCTTTGTGCTCTAAATCTCCAAAGTGGAGTAGAAGCAATAAAGAAGATATAAAATATTGGGATCAAAGAAGTAGATATATAAACTTCCATTTATATTGATATAGTCTAAATTTTTTCTTGCTAAGGTTTTATAATGCACTTAATACACTAGTGCAAGACTAAACACATATAATTCTCAAATAATATACATATTTGTGGTGCATTCTCAAAACTTCTTTACTAAAATGGTAACAAGATTGAAAAAATTTGAAGACTGCTTCTTTAGAGTATTAAAAGCTACACTAAATAGGTATGTCTTCCTCTCTGGTCATTTTTGGTTTTATCACACTATAAGCCTCTCGAAAGGTTTTTAAATGTGTTTTTCTTATTATAAATTCCACTATATTATGTAGATATTGAAATCTCACTACTATTAAGATTTTGTTATATATCCATCCATTCTTTTTTCTAAACATATATTTACAGAATTGGCATTACCCCTTATACATGATTTTGTATCCTACTTTTAAAAAATATTATAAACATTTATCTGTATCATTAAATTTTATTTCAAAAACATTGAAATGGCTACATGAATTCCCTATTAAGACTATGAAGTATGAGGCTGGCCCGGTGGCGTAGTGGTTAAGTTTAAGCACTCCACTTTGGCGGCCCAGGGTTCACAGGTTCGGATCCCGAGCACAAACATAACACACTGCTTATCAAGCCAGGCTGTGGTGGGGTCCCATATACCAAATAGAGGAAGATGGGCACAGATGTTAGCTCAGGGCTAATCTTCCTCAGCAAAAAGAGGAGGATTGGCAATGGATGTTAGTGCAGGGTCAATCTTCCTCACCAAAAAAAAAGACCATGAAGTAGTAATTTACTCAATCATTCTCCACCTTTGGATAGTTAGGGCAATTCCAAATTTTTGCAATTACATATAACATTGCAACGAATGTCTTTGTACATAAATTCTTGTCCAAATTTCTGCTGATTTCTTAAGGACACACAGATTCAAAGAGGAAGAATTACTGGGTCAAAGGATAACAACTTTGTCAAGGTTCTTAATGAGTGTTGCCAAGTTATTTTTCAGAAAGGCTCAAACAGTTTTATACTGCAGTGTATAAAAGGTACTACCATGTTACCCCACCCTTGCAGAAATGGAATATTACAAGTTTTTACATGTTTGCTAATATAATCAGTAAGTATTGTTTGTTCTGCTTTAAATAATAAACAGGAAATTTTCTACGTCATTGCCCTTCAGCATCCTGGAACCCTGTAACAGCAGTGCTCCCAAAGCTGAATTTGCATCAAGCAGTTGTAAGAGAAATGGAATTGGAGCTGTCTGCTAAGTTAAACCACAAAGAGAACACTGAGGTGCTCGGTACCATCTTCCAGAAGACTTCTACTCTTGTATCAAAAGGAAGTAAATTTTAAAGTGGTCCTTCATAAAAGGACCACTTCAGCTACTGATATGGAATTTACATGGGAAAAAAAGTGGGAAGTCCAGTTTGAGGCTTAGTTTTTTTCCTGCATCCTTAAAAGCTTGAGATATTTCGGGATGGCTTATCAATGGGTACTGATGATGCTAAAGAACTATTCCTGTCTCTGCTCACTTTACTATATCCTATATAATATTCAGCTTTCAAACCAGCCTTCACAAAGACAGGATTAAGCAGACCACTCCCATGTTATAGTAATCCCCACCTCCAGTCACTCTGTCCAATTACCCTACTTTTTTTTTCCTTCAGAGCACTTATCACCATTTGCAACATATCTGAATTATTCATGTATTCACTGTCAGCTTTCCTTTCCTAGAACGTAAGCTCCAGGGAAGGAAGGACTTTGTCTTGTTCTCTACAGCATCCCCAAGATCCAAAACAGAGCCTGACAAAGAACAGGTGCTGAGTAATATTTGTTTAATGCTAAGGCAGATTTACTAAGAAGCTCGAGAAGCTTAACTTCAGGGTTTTGCTAGTTGGACTGGCCCCTGTGATTGTGAGGAGTTGCAGCATGCTGCAGGTGGGGTGAAGCCAGGCTGTAAACAGGAAGCCTGTCATAGAAATCATTTTGGTAAATTCCCTCAAGAAAGGGATCTGAATCCAAGGCTCTAGTAATATACTGTGATGTTTCTTTTCCTAGCTAAATATTCACAATTTTGTATGTATTCAAATGGCTATTTTTTAAACTCTAATTTTAATACTATTAATTCTCTTTTTTCCTGCCATGTCTTCATTTGTTTTATTTTATATAGGTTTTTTTCAACCAGATACACAGATAATCCTTTAACTTTCAGGACCTCATGAAATTATATAGAGATTTTCCTTTTTTTTTCAGGTGTACAACATAATGATTCAATATTTGTATATATTGTGAAACAATCACCAAAATAAGACTAAAGATCCGTCACCATACAGTTACAGGCTCTTCTTTTCTTGTGATGAGAAGTTTTAAGATTTACTCTCTTCGCAACTTTCAAATATGCAAAACAGTATTAATAACTATAGTTGCCATGCTGTACATTACATCCCCATGACTTATTTATATTATAACTGGAAGTTTGTACCTTTTGACCCCCCCTTCACCCATTTTGCCCCCACCCACCCCTCACCCCACTCCACCCTCGCCTCTGGCAACCGCCAATCTGTATCTATGAGCTTGTCTTTCCATTAATTCTCTTTTTTGACAGTACCTATTCATTCCTTACTATGAACAGTTATAAATTAATATATTTACTTTTCTTCCCCACTCAACTCTTTATTCTATTACTTCATCACATTACTATTCTTAATGTTTACCTTTGTATTGTTAAATATTCTTTTATTTCTATTACTTGACTTGTCAGCTTTAAATATCTTTTGACTTAAGCAGGGAAATGTGGAAAAGACAAAGAATTCAAATTTTTACCTATAGTAGGAAAAAAAAAAGCAGCAGCACAGCTGGAGCAAGCAGTAAGTGATTGTCCACAAGGGTGATAGAACATAAATTTGGCTACCTCAAAAAATTGCATAAAAGATGTAGAAACAGAAATGTTTTCCCCCATAGCTTCAGAGAACACATTATTATGTCTGTGGAGTCAAAGGGGAAAACTAAACATAAAGTAAAATGGTCAGATGTTATGGAAGGATAACTTTTATTTATTTTTTTTTTTTATTATTTTTTGTGTGTGTAAGGAAGATCAGCCCTGAGCTAACATCTGTGCTAATCCTCCTCTTTTTGCTGAGGAAGACCGGCTCTGAGCTAACATCTATTGCCAATCCTCCTCCTTTTTTTTTTCCCCAAAGCCCCAGTAGATAGTTGTCTGTCATAGTTGCACATCCTTCTAGTTGCTGCACGTGGGGGCGGCCTCAGCATGGCGGGAGAAGCGGTGTGTCGGTGTGCGCCCAGGATCCGAACCCGGGCCGCCAGTAGCGGAGCGCGCGCACTTGACCGCTAAGCCATGGGGCCGGCCCTGGAAGGATAACTTTTAACATTCCCTTTGCAGAATGATAGTTCTAATGCCTCTTCTACCTAGAACCTCCCCATTTCGCTAATCAGTTTATAAAGATAGTGAGAACAAAAAAGAAGTATACACACCTCTCCCTCTTCTGACATTAGAGAATTCCTCATTTTCTCCACCCCGTCTCTCACGGTGTGGTGCTCCACTGTTACTTCTGCCGTCTTCTCCTCCGTGCTTTACTTCACCTTTTCCTTCAACTGCTACCTCCTGCATATCCCCAATGTTGCCATTTCCAGTAGATACTTGAACAGGTTCAGGAAAACCAGAAGTTTCCAAGGGCTGATTGGGATCACCACCCAAGTAATATTGAAATGGTCCATTATTTGATGTAAAGCTGTCTAAAGACTACAAATTTAAAACAACACTTAGTTAAAAGCCATAAACATAAACTATATACCACATATTTGCATGATAATAGAAGAATTGCTATTTTTATGAAATGTTTTTCATGTTATTATAGGAAATATTCTTTTTCTAAAAAATTTTTTCAATTCATATTCTGCTTCTTTTATGTAGGGAAGAAATGGGATAGGAATGATTCGTCCATGAGCAAAGAACTGAGATGTTCTCGCAGCGAATTGTTCTTGTGAGTCAGTCATTCATCCAAGAAACATTTAAATGTCTACTCCTATCCTAGTTATTATGCTTAACTCTAGGGATACTATGAAGAAAGAGAGAGAATCCCTGTCTGCAAGAAGCTCCCAGTCTTAGTAAGTGAGGCAGAGAAGTAAGATTATAACATTGATAAGTGTTACCAAGATGTACAAACGGTGCTATAGGAGCTCACAGGAGGGGTGCCTAACTCACACTGCGGTTGGATGGAGGCTTGGTCAAGACAGGCCTCCTGGAAGAAATGATATGAACTAAGACTTGAAGGACAAACAAGCATAAGCCAAGTCAAAGGTGTGGTAATGATGACAACATGTACCAATAAAGTAGTAGCAGGATAGAGGATGATTTGAGAACACTGAGATTACAGAATCAGACTTAAAGACTGAATGTGGGGAGGAAAAGAAAGGAAAAGCCTAGATGATTTTGTGATACTCACCAAGATAAGAAATACAGAGGATAAGGAGGTTTCAGGGGGACAGAAAGAGACAATGGTATAGTTAGAGGTAAGTGAAAATTGAGGTTCCTAGGCAAGATGTCCAATAGGGCAATTAGAATTCAGAAAAGAAATCTAGGTTGGAGATATCACTTTAAGAGTCATTAGCATGTGAGTGGTGGTTGAAACTAAGGGAGTGGTAACTAGGGATATACGCCTGAAGAACACCAAATTAAGGGGTCAACAGAGGAAGAAAAACTCCACAGAGGAAGCCCACAATGGGCCCAAGAGGTCTACCTAAGAGTTTAAGAAACTCTTTAAAAGAATGGAGTGATGGAAGCCAATGGAATATTTTCAAGGAGAGAGTAGCTAATATTATTTAATGATACTCAAGTGAGATACGAAATATAAAGCATCCATTCAAATTAGCAACAAAAGCATGTTGGCATGTATCTGAATGTGAATAAATACAGTGAATGAACAACAGAAAGCCTGGCCATGAAGGGAAGGAGAGAGATAAGAGAACAGTTAGAGGGTATCACAAGGTTGAGGGAGTATTTTCGGTTAAAGATGGAAGGGATATGTATATGTGTATAGCTTGAGAAGAAAAAACTAGAAGAGGGACAATGGCTGGGAACAGTCTAGAGGGTATAAAAGATGAAGGTCTCCAAAAAGGTGGGAGGAAATATGATACAAAGTAGAGAAATTGGCCTTAGTTGGGAAGAAGAACATGTCTTCCAGTGAGGTGGGAAGAAAGGCGGCAAGGACTGAATGGGTGTAGCTTATAGTCAGGAAGTTAAAGCAGCAAGTGTCAAGGCATGAAGTTGAAGGAGCAACAACCTAACGGCTTCTATCTTCTCCGTGAAGCAGAAAACAAAATTATTTGATGAAAGCAAGGAAAAGGTGAGACGGGACAAATGAGTATCAATCCCCTACTCACATCACCAATGCTAGTAGAACTCTAGCTTCTTACGCTTTAGGTGCTACTCAAAGTGTGGTCGGTAGACCAGCAGCATCAGCGTTAAAAGGGAACTTGTTGGAAACGCAAATTCACGGGTTCCACCCCAAACCTACTAAATCAGAAACTCTGGGGTTGAGGCCCAAGAATCTGTGCTATAACAAGCTTCCCATTAAAGTCTGAGAAGCACTGCTTAATAGATAAGAAAAATGTGTAAGACAAGGGGGAAAAAACCCTAAAATGCTTCTTTCTCTTATTCTCTTATCTTAGCAATCTAACCCACCTGACAAAATTCCAAGTGCACTGGTCTGCACTGGTAACGGATATCAGATGTACATGTGTATATATATAAAACAATCTCCAAGTCTCTGTTTCAGTTTCAGAACAGTACTTTCAAAGCATTATCTATTCCACTAAATGGTTATTCTAGAACGTGGTTTATTTTTAGCTTCTGCAAAGCAATAATGGCTAATAATTCAATCTTTCAAAATTACAACCTTTTAGAAAGAGATAAGCTACTCAACTTATTTAAACTGGACTGAAAACAAAAAGTGTGAAATTAAAAAACTGACTTTTTTTTTTGCAGGAAAGATTCACCCTGAGCTAACAACTGCTGCTAATCTCCCTCTTTTTTTTTTTTCCCTCCCCAAAGCCCCAGTACATGGTTGTATAGCCTAGCTCTAAGTCCTTCTAGTTCTTCTACGTGAGCCGCCACCACAGCATGGCAATTGACAGACGGGTGGCGTCATTCTGTGACTGGGAAACGAACCCGGGCCACCGAAGCAGTGAGAGAGCCGAATTTTAACAACTAGGCCATCAGGGCTGGCTCAAAACTGACTTTCTTGTAAACAATAATTGTTTAAGTGAGAGGAGGCCCTTGAAGCATGAGCTCCTCTATCACCTCAAAGACTTAGCAAAACCAATGGGCTATAGAGCTCTCAGACCATAAGCCCCATAGAAAGGACAGAAACCAAGGGAGTACTATATATACCAAGGTAGAACTATTGCTGTATTCAAACAGCACTATAGACATCCTGAAAATAAAATTCCAATACTTACATTTTTTAAAAATAATGATTTATTACAGATCATCTGTCATGGATAAAGAAGTTGAAAATAACATTAAGATTGAGCTTAGATTAACAACAGGTCAAGTAATAATAAAATAAGATTTTAATTATACTAGTAGATTGGCTAATATTTCAATGGATAAGACACAGAGATGAAGCTTGGGGACAAAATGAATAATGGCTCTTTATAACAGGTAATAAAAGCAGTCATAAGGAAGTAGAGTAAAAGGAACTTATGATGAAGTGATAACTGAACTACAGAGCAATAATAATGATGGTGCAACTGTATGTAGAACATAATTTCAACATTCTCATAGAAGAAGGGAAAAAAAGGAAAGAAAACTTAAATAGGCAACATTAGTTAGAAAATAAAATACAAGGAAAAAGAAATATTCCACAGACAACTATAATGCTCATTTTAAAACTTTTTATTATGGGAAGTTTCAAACACACTAGAGTAGAATAGCAAACACCCAGTCTCAGCAAGTATCACTTCAGGGCCACTCCTGTTTCACCTATCACTCCCACGCCATCCCCAGGGAATTACTCTGAAGCAAATCCTAGACATCATATTATCAGGCTAAACACTTTATTGCAATAAGATAAATATATCAAAGATTAAAAAAATATTGCTTACTCTGTATATGTGTGTGGGGGTTAGGGGGTATACTTAACTAACACATTCAAGAGGTTATTATAAATTCTTAAAAATACTTTTATGAGTGGAAATTAATAAGAAAAGGAAAACATTCAAATCATAATAGGCAAACAATAAACGTGATATCAGTTGTCCACAAAAAGAACTTGAAAAGCACCTTGATTCTCAAGGACTCCAAAATTGATAACAGAGATTAAATACGTTTTTAAAAGAACCCACCTAGGAAATCTGTGGAAGACAACCTATAATTAACCTAGACTTGGTGAGGGTGGTGGTGAGGTGAGGCTGTACCGTATCTAAGTTTTCCTTCAGGAAGGGACATCTGAATTAAGGTTTAAAGGATGTGCAGGAGTTCACTCGGTGAACAGGGAGGAGGTACATTCCGGTAAAATGAATGCAAAGATTCTGATGAGAAGGGGAAGGGACTTGACATATCAGAGGAACAAAGAAGGCCAGGGTGGGTGGCGGGCAAAGCCCAAACAGGAAAGTGGTGTTAACAGAGGCCAAAAAGGGAAGTAGGAGCCAGATCAGGCAGGGCCTCATGGAGGATTTTAGTCCATGAACTGATCTACAGAGAAAACAGGAGCAAGCCTAGAATTTACTAGCCAGATATCTACTAAGATTAAGCCTCACTCACATTTTTTTCACCAACCTTCCCCAAACAAATCTTTTTAAAAAGAGAAAATAGAGGCTGGCCCGGTGGCGCAAGCAGTTAAGTGAGCGCTCTCCGCTGCGGCAGCCCAGGGTTTGCAGGTTCAGATCCTGGGCACACACCAATGCACCACTTGTCAAGCCATGCTGTGGCGGCGTCCCATATAAAGTAGAGGAAGATGGGCATGGATGTTAGCCCAGGGCCAGTCTTCCTCCAGAAAAAAAAAAGAGGAGGATTGGCAGATGTTAGCTCAGGGCTGATCTTCCTTGCAGGAAAAAAAAAAAATAGACTGAATAACCACC